CCGTCACACACTCTAGAGCTCCAGCAAAGGCTCGACCACCGCAAAGCAGTCCCCAAGGTGCATCTCCTGCCCTATGCCTCCAACAGGTGGGTTCTCAGCTGCTGCAGCCTCCCCCAATTTGATCAAGAGTCCCACTGACTGAGCCCTCTGGAGGGCCACAGACCACCTCTGTCTGAATTGATGCAGAAACTTGGCGGCATAGAAGGATTTTGAGTCGGCGTTGAAGTGGCGCCGAGCCGCTGTGTCTGCCAGGAGCTTGAGGAAGACCGGGACCTCGGCACATGGGCAGCCGTAGGTGTCTACCGCCAGTGGGAAGAAGCCTATCGTCTCTGGGCGGTTGGCGTAATGTTTTATTTTATTGTCCGCTTGCTCACGCGCCGCCCACCCCCTGCCCTTCTGTGCCTCTGGGTCCCTGGTGCTGATGGGGTCAGTGATGGTTACATTGCAGATGTAAACCGCCCCACTGCTTCTGTCGGTCATAGTGAAGTCGGCGGTTTGCTCCTCGATGGGGCAGTAGGCGGCCGACTCTCTGTGCACTATAAACCCTGCGTCTTGCGCCATGCTGACGCAGGCATCCCTTAGCTCGTTGTGCGTGTTCGTGCGGTGCTTGCCTGTGCCGCAGCGGAGCAGGTGGTTCGGAAGGCGGGGGTCTGTGATAGCCGTGTAGTCAGCGCAGTCACAGTTTTTGGGGGTCGAAAACGGTAGGCCGAGTCGGAAACGAACCGCATTTGCGAAGTGTACCGGCCCTATCCGCCTAGCAGGGGCAATGGGGATCGCGGTGAGCCAGTCGCCTGTGCCGTAGCCCGTCATTGAAAACATCCTCTGTGTGTGCCCCGCAAGCGGATTCGGCTTCATGCGCCTCGTCGCCTGCACCTGCTTTGCGTATCTGCTTCCGTGGACCTTGAGTCCAAGCACGTGTTGGAGCCGGATGTCGGAACGTTTGAGCCGCTCCGTCTCGAGTATCTCCCGTGCATCCCGCGGCAGTGCCTCCTCACACTCCTTCAGCCATTTGTGTAGCGGTGTGCTGTCAGCCCGTGGCAGTAGCATATGATTCCGTGCCAGGGTGAGGGCGGTATCTTCTTCCAGCGGTAAACACCCGAGGTACAATGCCGCCTGCGTAAAACTGGCTGCGAAACCATAGATCCCTTCGACTAGGGGGTCGGTGATGCCCAGCCCTCCCAAGGATGGCGGCAGTGATGCTTGCTCCCAGACCCGTGACTGTTCGGTTCGACACGTGGGAACACGGATATCGCAAGCTGTGAGGAGCGTGGCGAGCAGATCCCTACCCCACTGGCTCCATGTGTCACGAGGGAGAAGGTGCAGTGGGGTCGTCCTGGTGAGATATGCAACTCGTCGCGATATGCATCGCGTAAGTAGCAGCGCTGCGACCTGGGGGTCCGTTCGCTCGAGCAAGGGTAAGGGTTTTGCCATCTCGGCGAGCTGACCCGCCAGGAACCGAGCTGCGCCGCTGTCTGGCCCCACGAAGCTACCCAGTAGTTTCATGCCACCTTTAGAGAACGGCACTCCTGGCGGAAGGCAGGATGTGTCAATTGCGCAGGAGCTCCAAGCACTACACTTCTGTGGGTTGTGTTCGAGGCCCAGGCGCGCCAATTTTGTCGTGAAGCATGTGAATGCAGCTACAGTGCGGTCTGTGTCACCCAGGAAGGTGACATCGTCAGCATATGCCAGGCACAGCACGTCCGGGTGTGCTTCGGCAGTTTCTCGGAGTGTAGCGTGTATCCCTGCTACAAATAGAAGTGGCCCCAGTGGGTCTCCCTGGCGTACGCCGCGTTCGCTTGTCAGTGGTGCGCTGTTGAAATTGGAGTCCAGTAGTAGCTGCGACGGGTTACCGTATGTCAGTTGCACGAGCGGCAGCAGTGGCGAGAGGGTGGGCTCTTGTAACGCGTCGGCGATGGCGGAACGCGAAATGCTGTTGAACGCGTTTGTAATGTCGGCTTGTAGTACCAGGCTGTCCGGGCGGGCATCCGAAAAAGCCCTGGCTGCGTGGATTACTGCCTCCGCCCCACCTGGAACTGCTACCCCGTACTGTAGGGGTAAGAAAAATTCGCGGACCGGGTCTCCCATGATTAACAGGGCAGCCTTGGCTGCCAGCCTGGTTAGGCATTCGCCGATGGCGATAGGCCTAGCCCCTCCCCCCGGCTTGGCGAGGGCGATGAGTCGTGATGCCGTCAGCAGGTTCGCTACCGGGCCTGGCAATTTGCCTCCCAACACAGTGTTGACCAAGGCGTGGAGATGGGTGCTGACCATTCCGTTCGTGATCGCCGCATCGCGTAGGTGCTCGAACGTCATCCCTGAAGGTCCGGCACCAACCCCATTCTCGCACCTCGCCAACATTTTAGCGAAGTCAGCGTGGGGGATTGACAATTTTGGCCCCTGTGTTTCGGGCCACGTCACTGCCTCGTCTTCAGCACGTGGGTGCTTCTGTCGCAGCTCCTCCAATATTTCCGGACTGGGCGTGCAGACGGGCGTTGACTCGAGGGCCAACACGGCTCGGCGCAGACTCCCACGTTTTGCTAGGCTCTCTGCGCGGCTGATGACACCAGTCGCATCTGGCTGATGTCTTGGCGGGGGCGGTGTGTTGACTGCGGTCAACGCGTCTTGGTACAGCTGATCCCATTCGCCACGCTGGAAGGCTCGGAGCCGACTCTTGACGCATGGCCAATTCGGGCGTGCAGGCGAGGTTTGGCGAAGTGTTAGTCGCGGGAGAAACAACAGCAGTCGCCATCCCGTTTCCGAATCGGGGTTTCGTGATAGGTGGTGTAACGGTGTCAGTAGCGCTAGCGAAAACAGCTGGCACAGATTTGGCGGTAAACGCCGCGAAAGTGGGGGCTGACGACTATCGCATAGTCCTGCCAAGTCCCAGTTCGCGATGGCCGCGAACAGGTCTGTCCGCTTCGCTAGCTCATCGGGTGAAAAGTAGCGCGGAATTGACGCCTGTAGGTGCAGTGCCGGACTGGCATTGGCGGCTCGATTTCTCCCATCGCGGCTCGCTCTCATTGGTGGGTTTGAGGTTGGATTCACACCCGTACGATCGGCGTCGGATGGCGGCAAACCCATCTGTGACACTTGCACCACTGGCTGCTGCACTACCTCTTCCCTTCTCCTTGGTCCTTCTCTCGCCATGCCTTCCCCCTCCGTCTCCTCCTCCTCGCTCTCGGGGAGTGCTTCTTCCATATAAGTGGGGTCGTCCCGCTTGTCTTCTTCATTATTTTTCTCCGCGTTACTTAAAGCCCTTCGTGCCGCCGCCTGATACCCGTTCTCCGGCCCTCCGCCTGTTCCGCTTACGGTTTGTCTTCTCGCCCCGCGGTTTTCCTGCTCCAGGGATGGTGATTGCCGGTGCGCCTGAGCCGTCGCCAGAGCTCGTTGCCGCCTGGTCGGCTGTGGCCGCGACGCCTCCGGCGGAGGCCGGAAGGGCGACCACGGCGATGAAACCCCCTCTACCGCCGGCTCCGACCCTCGTGACAGCAGCCGCTGAAAAGCTTCCTCCCCACGCACCCGCGGATCCCGTTGCCCAGTCTGCAGCACATGCCCCCCTGGTTCCCCTTGTCGCGCCGTCGACGTCTGCCCCTGTTGGGGTTGTTGCTGACCCCCCTGCGCCTGTCCCTGGCGCCCCTGTTGCGCTGAGCGCCTCTGTCCCTTGCTCGCCTGCGCATGCTTCTGCTTCGTCACCGAAGGCGGTGTCCGCCACCACTGGCGAGCCGGCTCCGTTGGTTGCGCCCGCGGCGTCGGGACCGCCCGCCCCTGCTGCGACGGCGGTAGTTCCTGCTGGCCAGCCGTCACGTCCTCCGTCGCCTGACCGTCGTTCGTCACGCCCGCATTCCCCTGCTCCCCATCAGGACCGCCGGTCCTCTCGTCGCCGCCGTGAGTCTCCGCGGCGGTTCCAGCGACACCCCCGCTGGCCTGCTCACCCCGGGGGTCAGGGGGAATGGGGAGGTCCCCGCGCCTATGGGGGGTTGCGCCCGCCTGTGACGATGGCGGATCTTCAGCGTGAAGTGTCGAGGGCGGTTCGGGAGGAGAGGGCGGCGCAGAGTCAGAGCAGTTCGCTGCGCGCCGCGCCCGTCCACGAGGCTCCCCGTCCGGCTGCGCTCCCCCCGGTTGCTGCGCCTCCCCCTCCGATTCAGTCGTCGCCTGCGCTTGCTCCCGCCGCGTCGGCGCCCGTTCCTGGTTCTCGTCTGCAACTGCCGCCGCTTCCACCCGTTGCTGGCGTGGAGTTTGTGGCCGCGGGCGGAGGCTCGCTATCGGCTCCGTTTGCTCTCCTCGCCGGCGCTGATGAGCCGCTTCAGTTCCTGGCGGAGGCACTGCAGCCTCCGCAGACCCGTGTTCCCGAGGCGACTCTTGGACAGCTGCACCGCCTCGCTGACAGCCTCCATGCTCTGCTGCTGATTCAGGTGCTGGCTCATTCGTCGCTTCCGGTGATTCCTCCTGAGACCTTCCTTTCTCGCCAGCGTGACCCTTGCTTGGACGCGGCAGACCAGCTCGCAGTGCTGCTGGCGCCCGTGCTGGCTGCGCCCGCGGAGGGAGGCGCTGCTGCTGCGGGACAGCTCGACGAAGCTGTCCGGGGCCTGAGGCGGCACTTGCGCGCTGGATCTGGAGCCGCGGCGATCGGCGCAAGCACGCTTGTGGTCCGGGAGCTGTGGCGCTCCCTGACGGGCGTTCTTCACGCCCTTGGAGCTCACCGCATGTAGATGCGGGCTCCGCTTCTACTTGTGTCGCCATTGCTGCTTAGGATGTTGTTGATGCCGCCATTGGTTGTATGCCGTTTGCTTAACCTCGGTTGTGTTCGTGTTCCTTGCCGTCCCCTCACGCGCGGCCGAAGGCCGCGCTGTCGAGCGTCGGCCGCCGAAGGCGGCCGACGCGAGTCGCTGGGTTAGAAGAAATGAACCCACGAAATGAATAATGAGACAAGCACCAGGCCCACGGCCTTATATAGCGGAGCTAGGGGCGGCTGAGAGGCTGAGAGGCTAAGGGACTAGGGGTCTATGCCTCTCTCTCTCTCTCTCTCTCTCTCTCTCTCTCTCTCTCTCTCTCTCTCTCTCTCTCTCTCTCTCTCTCTCTCTCTCTCTTTCTCTCTCTCTCTCTCTCCTTGGTTCCGTTCACGCACTCCGTCCCTCCCGTGCGCTCTCCCTTCCACATTCTCGCGCTTCGTCCATCCCGTCTGCTCTCCCTTCCGCATTCTCGCGCTCCGTCCATCCCGTCTACTCTCCCTTCCGCATTCTCGTGCTCCGTCCATCCCGTCAACTCTCCCTTCCGCATTCGCGCGCTCCGTCCCTCCCGTCCGCTATACCTCTTGCTTTCGCTCGCTCCGTCCCTCCCGTCCGCGCTCCCTTACATTTGTTATCTCCGACCCTCCTGTGCGCTCTCCATACCTCATAAACGTGCTCCTTCCCTCCCGTCCGCTCTGCCGCTCGCATTCGCTCCCTCCCGTCGCTCCCGTGCTCGCTCTTGCCGTTCGCATTCTCGCGCGCCGTCCCTCCCGTCCTCTCTCCCTTGGTCACAAAAGCTCTCTCCATCGCTCCCGTGCCCTCTTATCGTCGCATTCTCTCTCTCCGACCCTCCCGTCTGCTCTCCCATCGTCGCATCCTCTCTCTCCGTCGATCCCGTGCTTTCCCACGGTTGCATTCTCTCTCTCCGTCGCTCCCGTGCTCACGAACCGTCGCATTCTCCCTCGTCGTCGCTCCCAAGCTCTCCCACTGTCGCATTTGCCATCTCCTTCAAGTTTGCTCCCGTTCTCTATCCCGGCCGCTCTCGTTCCCGTTGTATCTCTGTCGCTCGCGTGCGCGCTATCGTTCTCATGCTCCGTCGCTCCCGTGCTCTCGCTCTCTCGCATTCGCTCTTTCTTGATAGCAACCGCGTGCTCCGTCCCTCCCGTTATCTCTCTCTCAAGCAGTCATGTATTGACATGGTTCGCAAGGTACAAGCGAGGAGCTACCACTTGGTCTAAACGTGCAAGCAATCGTGAGTCCAACATAGCGAGACCAGTCAGCTAGGCAAACGAACAACTAGCAAAACACAGAGAACCAGCTCTCCAGATGTTGAAACACGCCACCACACACTAGGACGAACGAGCCAGCCAGTACCAAGGCCACCAAACCCTGTCCCTACAGTCCTCCTGCTTCTGGACTCCCCCTACTGATCCTGCCTCTCTGTCCACCGTCCCTTTCCCCATACGCAGCTTCCTGCCGTCGTCCGGCTAAACCTCCCCCACTCCCACTCCCTCCCCGCCCTCTAAGCCGTTCTGGCCGGGGCTTGACGCTCCTCGTACTCATCCTCTTGCATTTGCCAGAGGTCCCCCAACCGGGGGGCCTAGGGGTCTGCCGGCGCCTGTGGGAATGCCGCCTCGGCCGCCCTATTCGACTTAGATAGGAGTGAAGTCGCCTGGCTGCGCTGAAGCATGACCGACCACCGCTGCCTGTAGTGTGCATTAAGGCGGGCGGCAGTGGTGGTGAGGCGCCCCTGGCGGTATTTCTTCCGTGCCGCGTAGTTGGCTAGCATACGGAGGAACTGCTGGGTGTCGGCCGCCAGGGCCCCATAGGTCTCAACTGCCATACCAAAGAAGCCGACGTATCCAGGGCGCCCTGCGTAGAGCCGATGTTTTGTCTGCGACGCCTCCTCCGCTGCCCATCCTGGCGGCTTCCGTGCCCTCACATCCCTCCTCTGCAGGACCGGGTCCGTGACTGTCACGTCTGTCGCCCAGGTCTCCCCTGATTCCGGGTCCCGAACGGCGAGGTCTGCTCGCTTACTCGCTACAGGGGGAGAGAAGGCAGTCGTCTCGTGGAAGGTCCTATACCCTGCTTCCTTCGCCATGCGGAGGGCTGCAAAAACCAGGGCGTTGTGGGTGCGCACCGCATCCCCGCCGTCGGCACAACGGAGCAGATGGTTCGGCAGGCTCTTGTCAGCAGTAGAGGAGTTGGATCTCCTGCAGGGGCAAACCTCCGCTACCGGTAACTCCATGCCAAGGCGCAGGCCCAGTGCCATGGAGAACTGACCAGGGGAGATTGAGAGGTCAGCCCTCGTTGGCACTGCATGGAGCCAGTCACCTGCTCCCACTCCTTTCAAGCTAATTAGCCGAATTGCATGGCCCCTGTCTACCCCCGGCCTATCTGTGACCGTATCTGCGAGCAGCTCTTCCGCCCGCGTGTGGTTAATGGCCTTTGACAGGCCTAGCTGCAGGTTGCCCATGCCTTTCGGGTTCTCCCTATAGCTGCGGAGGACTGCTGCAGCCTGTGCTGGGAGCCTGGCCTCAAGCGGTGCCAGCGGGTTGGCCCGGGGGGGCGGTGGGGCCCATGTCGGGGAGAGGAGTTTCCTGGCCTTGTGAAGAAGGTAATCTGGCGGCAGGTTCAGCCGTTGCAGGAGAAGGTGCGCCGCTGCAGTTGAAGCTAGGTACGCTGCTGGGGCTTCGGAGATGGGGTCAATGATTCCCAAACCTCCTAGCCGCACCAGGAGCGTGGCCTGGCGCCACAACAGACTCTGCTCCAGCTCACTTGGCGGGATCCGAAGCTTTGACGCCGCGAGCCCGGCTCCTACCAGTGCCTCGCTCCACTCTCGCCACTCCGTACGGGCCAGTGCATCCGCTGGTGTTGTGCGTAAGAGGTACGAGATGCGGCGGGAGATGCTCCGAGATAGCATGAGTAAGGCGTGCTGCGGGTTGAGTTGGGCGACGAGATGTAGCGGCGCCGCCACCTCCGTTAGCGTCCCGCGGACCTGGTCGGTGCAGAAGGCGTCGCCGCCAACCGGGCTGCCCAACACCTTCAAGCCGCCTGGGTGGACAGGAAGACCATGTGGCAGACCATCCCCTCCTTCCTCCCACAAAGCCCACCACGCCGCGGACTTGGTAAGGTTGCAACGTAATCCGCATGAAGCCAGCTCCGTGATTACTGTGTTAAAAGCCACGCACGCCGCCTCGTGAGGCCCGACGATGGTGATGTCGTCGGCATACGCTACTATTGCCACCTCCGGTATTCTCGTGGCCACGCTGAGTAGTATCGGCTGGATTGCTGCCGCAAAAAGGAGAGGCCCCAGCGGATCCCCTTGGCGGACACCTCTGGAGCTTACGATGTGCTCTACTTCCAGACGGGGGTCCACAAGAAGCCGCGAGGAGCCATCGTAGAGGTTCCTGACAAGCGGGAGCAGCGTGTTGAGAGTAGACCACTGGAGGGCGGAGAGGAATGACGCGCGTTCTACACTGTTAAATGCGTTTTCCACATCGAGCTGTAGAGCTACGCGGGTCTTGTTGTCCTTAAGGAGAGAACGAACCGTGTGGATAATACACTCCGCTCCCCCAGGAACCGCCACGCCGAACTGTACGGGTAGGAAAAATTCCCGGATTTTCGGGCCCAAGCTGTGCAGCGCCGCTTTAGCCACCACGCGGAGCAACGCCTCGCCTATTGCGATTGGTCTAACTCCTCCCCCAGGCTTTTCCAAGGCTATGAGCCGAGAGGGGAGTAGGAGGTCGCGGACTGATTGACTCTGGAAAGAGCCTGCGAGGCGATTTACCACATTCGTCAGCAACAGGAGGATCTCCTCGTTCGCTAGGGCTGGGTCTCGTAGGTGTTCAAAACAGCTGCCTGAGGGCCCTGCCCCTACCCCATTCGGGCATTTCGCGAGGATTTCGCGCAGAGCCTCGAGTGGGATACGGAGCTCAGAGTCAGTGATCCCGGTAACCCATGCTGGTGTTGGGGCGCTTGAAGGTGGGTGTTTCGCCCGTAGGGCAGCCAGGGTCGCAGAGCTTGGGTCGGCGAGGGGGCTTGTGCGTAACGCCGCAACCGCCTTCGAAATGTTACCTTTTTTAACCAAACCCTCCGCTCTTGCGCAAACCCCTTCGTCATCGTCTTGATGCCTTAGCGGACCCCTCGTGTCGGGGATAGTGCAGGCTGCCTCGAACAACCCATCCCACTCTCCCAACTGGAACTGATGTAACCGAGCCTCAATCGCTGCCCACCGACTTCCAGTGACAGGCTCTGGTGGGGGGCGAAGTGTCAGCCTCAAGAGGTATAGTAGGACCGCCCAAGCACCTGGGCATTCTGGGTTCGTCGACAGCCGCAGGAGAGGTGCGAGGAGACACAAACAGAATTTGTCCAGCACTTGGGGTGGTAAGCGTCTGACTAGGAAGGGTTGGTCCATCCGTTGAAGCAGATCCATAGTCCACGTGCCCGCCATTTGCCAGATGGCGTCATCCTCTGCCAGGGTGGCCGGCGATTTCACTTCGTTGGTTACCGTGGGAGCTGGCACAGATACTCCTTCAGCCTGGGATGTCGCCCTGGCCACTCCCTCTCCCGTCCCTTGCACTCGATTCCGGCCTCTTCCCAAATCCTCCTCGTTAACCAGAGACACCTCTTCGGACTCCGGGCCCGCCTCCTCTCCACACATAAACTCAGGGTCCCCCATGTCCTCAGCAGGCTCAGCATCGACCCCATTGGCTGGGGCTTCCAAAACCTCTGGGCGGTCGTGGCGTTCCCGCCAAGGGCCTGTTCGTGCCTGGATCTCCGCTCCCCCCAAGCGAGCAACACCCCCGCGCCTTCCCCCTCGTCTCCCGCGATCCATATCGCGGAAACCCCGGTTCGCCGCCACTGTTGGCTGAGGCGTCGCCGCTAGTCCCGCTCTCCCCGCCGGCATCCATGGCGATCTGCCTCCCCTTGGTGGGCCCCATGTGACAGCACCCAAACGAGCTGAGCGACGAGTGGCGACGGCCGCCGCAGTTGGAGCTACTGGGCTTGACGGTGAGTGCGTGTGTGCTCCGCTGTCCTGGTTTGGCGCCGGCTGCTCTGCCACACGGGTTGCTGTTGCCTCTGTTGTTGCCTCATTGAGCCCAGAAACCCCCCGTGCCTCTTGCGTGTGCGCAGATGACGACCGATGCACTCGCTCTGATGGCAGTTGCCCTTGCAGAAGCCAGCCCAGGAGGGGTCCCGGGGAGCCAGGTCCCAGCCCTGCTCCGAGCCGTCTCGGCGCTGGCTGGGCCCGCGGCTTCCTCGTCGACATCTCTCTCTCTCTCTCTCTCTCTCTCTCTCTCTCTCTCTCTCTCTCTCTCTCCCTCTCTCTCTCTTTCTCTCTCTCTCTCTCTCTCTCTCTCTCTCTCTCTCTCTCTCTCTCTCTCTCTCTCTCTCTCTCTCTCTCTCTCTAATGGTCCTTGTATTGATGTGGCCGCCAAGTACAAGCATGCAGGGTACAGAGGCATACACACAAAGGCAAATCCTACCCTAAACCCCCCCCCCTAAAGGTCTAGGAGGGGCTCTATCACTGCAAAACAATCTCCAAGGTGCAACTCCTGCCCAATGCCACCCACAGGTGGGTTCTCAGCTGCAGCCGCCTCGCCCATCTTCATCAGGAGGCCCACAGATTGGGCCCTTTGAAGGGCCACCGACCATCTTTGTCGAAACTGATGTAGAAACTTTGCGGCATAGTATGATTTTGAGTCGGCGTTGAAGTGCCGCCGAGCCGCCGTATCTGCCAACAGCTTCAGGAAGGTGGGTACTTCCGCGCATGGGCAGCCATAGGTGTCGACCGCCAGAGGGAAAAAGCCAACCGTCTCCGGCCGGTTGGCGTAGTGCTGGATCTTCTTATCCGCTTGTTCCCGTGCCGCCCATCCCCTGCCTTTCTGCGCCTCTGGGTCCCTCGTGCTTATGGGATCCGTGATAGTGACATCACACACATATACCGCCCCACTGCTACGATCCGTCATGGTGAAGTCGGCGGTTTGTTCCTCGATGGGGCAATGAGCGGCCGACTCGCTGTGGACAATGAAACCTGCGTGCTGCGCCATGCTGATGCATGCATCCCGCAGCTCGTTGTGACTGTTAATGCGGTGTTTGCCCAAACCGCAGCGCAGGAGATGGTTCGGCAGACGGGGGTCAGTGATAGCCGTTTTGTCCGCGCAGTCACAATTCTTAGGAGTCGAGAAGGGGAGAGCTAGGTGGAATTTGATGGAGTTAGCGAAGTGGACGGGGCCCATCCGCCTAGTCGCTTCGATAGGTATCGCGGTCAGCCAATCACCGGTGCCGTACCCCGTCAGCGAAAACATGCGCTGAGTGTGGCCGGAGAGTGGGTTCAATCGCATGTGCCTGGTTGCCTGGACCTGTACGGCGTATCTGCTGTCGTGCACTTGCAGCCCGAGGACGTGTTGGAGACGTATGTCCGATCGCTCCAACTGCTCCTTTTCCAGTATCTCCCGGGCGTCTGTCGGCAGCGCTTCCTCGCACCCCTTCACCCAAACGTGAAGGCGCGTGCTGGTATCCC